CGCGGTGGCGACGATTTCATGGAAGAGGACGGCGCGAACGAGCAGCAGGAGCCACGCGACAGGCGGCGGTAGCACTGCAGTGCTCATGGCGACTAAATGCAGAAGGCCATGCGCCAGAAAGTGGGCTACGAGACAGCATAGCCACGTGAGCCTCGAGTCGGACCGCAAGCAACGTACGGCCAGCGTCGAGCGATCGCGCGTAGGCGGCGACCGCGACGACGACAATCATGGCGAAGCGAATGGTTTCCACGCCGAAGTCGTCCAAGGTGCTGGCTGGAAGCGCCGTGGGCAGTAGCTGCGGTGCCACGTAGATGGCTGCGCAGGGTGCGCGGATGGCGACGGCCCGTCCCCACGTGCCCATCTGGTGCGGATTCTGAAACTCAATCGGTTTTGAGAAATGCTGCTGGATATTCGAAAAATGCATTTGATTGGCGGCGACGGAATCTTGAGCGGACACATTGGCGGCGACGTGTACGTTGAAGAACATCAAATGCATTGTAATCATGCACACCAACAATATTGTTTATCATGTCATATACAAGATGTCTTTGGTGGCACTGTTGCACTGGACGCTCCTTTCGACTTCAATGGAGGGGTAGGGGAACCGGACATTGCCGCCTCCTTTCCAGGCACGGTAGTCTCGCTCGCGATAGTATCGTCTTCTTGGTTGCTTTCAGCGTCGTCGTCCCATGCCACCCGGTGTCCGTGCTTCCAATGGCCGCGCCGGCGCCGACCGGACGCAAACACGTACTCGGCCGCCCCGTGCACGTGCCCGCTGACAAAGTCGCCGTCAATGCCGTCGCCGTTGGTATAGTACAGCATGCCACGCCCGTGCCGCACGTCATCCGAAAATGCCCCCGTGTACTTGAGCAGTCGGTACAGTGCGTCGTTTCCGCCAATGTGCAGGCGTCGGTCGTCGCCGAGTTCAGCAGCAGGCGTCAAGATCGATTCGCCGTGACCGTCGCGCTTGCCGTGGACCCAGTCGCCGACATAAGCGCGTCCGTCCGTGTGCAGAAACCGCCCGTGGCCGTGAAGCACTCCGTTGAAGAAGCCGCCGGTATACATGCACTCGCCTTTTCCATAGTGGTAGTTGCCGCTGCCGAGAGGAAACTCGAGGGGGTGCTGTTGGTTTTCAACATACGGAGTTGTCCGTCGCCCGATTGACGTCCGTTGTCAAACGCACCAATGTACTCTACCTTCATACCCTATATAGTGCTAGTATGACTGCATCGTCCCTCGTCAGGAATCGAAAGCTGGGGACTGTACCTGCACGGTGGAGCGCAGCGTGCCACGGCCGTGCATGACATCGTTGGACCACTCGCCAATGTACTCGTTCCCGGAGGCCCACACCCGGCGACCTCCATCGCAATGTGAGCTCTATCGGTGCGAGGGCAATTACCTTTGCCATGACGCTTGTTGTTGGGCGATGGCGTCACGACGCACCGGCGCACACGCACGGCAACGTACTCGCCCTCGTAGAAGCCACCGTCCTTGTAGGTAAACTTGCCACGGCCGTAATAGTACCCGCTGTGCATCTGCCCTTCGTACACATCGCCGTTCGTATAGCGGAAGAGGCCATTGCCGTGGGGGAGGCCGTGCGCAAAGTCACCAATGTACACAAACGTCGCAGTCGTCCAGACACCGCTACCGTGCTGACGGTGGTCGACCCAGTCACCGTCGTACTGCGAACCATCGGCAAAGACGCGGGCGCCGGCGCCGTGCTGGTCACCGAGTTTGTATTCACCCACGTAGGACCCCCCTGTATGGGGCCACGCGCGGTGGCCAAACCCGTGGAAGAGGCCGTTCTGGAAGTCGCCGTCGTAGCTGCCACCGTCGCGATACAAGAGGTGGCCTTTGCCCCACCACTTGCCGTGGCGCCAGTCGCCGTCGTAGCGGTCGCCATTAGCGTAGCAAAAGACGCCGTGGCCGCTAAAAACGTTGTCGGCAAACGTGCCATCGTAGCTGCCACCGTCCCCGCGCACCAAGGTGCCTTTCCCGTGCTTCTGGCCGTCGCGGAACCCGCCTTCGTACGACGAACCCTTGGTCCACTCTTTTGTGAGCGGGTGCTGCAAGTCCGGCACGCGGAGGACCCCGAAGCCGTTGAAAAGATTATGGGCAAACTCGCCGTGGTACGTGGCGCCGTTGACGTAGGTAAAGGTTCCGCGGCCTTGGCGCTGGCCGTCGAGCCACTCGCCGTCGTAGAGGTCCCCGTTGGCGAACCGGAGCTTGCCGCGGCGGTAAACGCGCCCGTCGTCTGTCAAGCGCCAGGACCCGAGGTCAAAGACGACGTTCATGGAGCAACGCGACCCTTCAAGATACAAAATGACAATTCGTTTCCACGTGGCAGCACCGACGAGGCGGGATTCGAGTCAAGGCGTCGTGACATCCGCGGCCACCATACTTTCTGCTTTATGACGGTTTTGAGATGGAGAGTGAGAGAATGTAAGTTCTATGCCATGGAGAGCAGCATTCCTTGGGGTACGACGGCGGTACAAGACTCACGTATGTAGTATTGTTGCTCGCGATGCGTTATCGACGCATTATGGCACTTGAGCGAACGCATCTTCGTCGGCAGCGACCTTGATGACCACCTTGACTTTCAAGCACATCGCCCAGTTGGCGATCGCGATGGTCACGGCCAGGTAGACGACGCCGGCGGTCCACGCGAAAAAGCAGACCCAGAGCGCAGCTCGAGCGCCGGATGTCATGTAGGTCCCTACTGCGGTGAGCACAGCGAAGTCCGTCATAAAGCCGTGCAAGAGAATATGCCTGGCTCGCAATGAAGACGAGACCCAACCACAAGGGGCCGCAGCAGACAATATGGTAGTCGGCACGGTCGGCGGTGACGACGGCCTCGGGCTCGTCGTCGTCGTTGGCCGTCGACGACTGCGGCAATGAATTGCGCATCGCGTGCAAAGTCGACTGCCCAAATCTGCATCGAGACTTGGGCTAGTGCTTGGATGTGGCTCGCGACGTCCGTTCTACGATGTGCTTGCCCTCAATAGATGACGGCTTCTATCTTAGGTCGTCCCAAGGCGTCTCCGCTCTCAATGTGGCGCTGACGACGATGCGTCATCGAATGTTAGTTGAGCGGTGCGGTGCGAGTCAAGTTGTTCAGCAAGCACCGAGTGCACCCTTGCAAGCACGATAGAAAACATTCAGGTGTATTCGTGTTGTATTTGGAGAAATGTATACCGATATGCAGCGCGTCTTCTAGTAGTACGAGTTGCGTTCGACCCAGCCGGGAATTCGGTTCGACTTGCCGGTTTGCTTGTCGACGTACACGGTCGACGTCGACCGGAGGAGGTACTTGCGCATTTCATCGTACGTAAAGAGGAACATGGCCACGGGCATACCACCGAACCAGTGCGTGAGACGGATGCCGGTCGTCGTAAAGATCATTTGGAAGAACGACGAGTAGCACGTGCACGCGCAGAGGAGGAACTCGAAGCCAAGGCCAAAGAGGAGCACCGAGTTGCGCATGCCCTGGGAGCGGATCGAGAGGAACCGCGTCTTACAGTTGAGCACGTTGGCCCACTGCATGACGACAACAGTCACAAAGTACGCAGTCTGCGCGTTGAGAAGTGCCATCATGCAGAGACGGCGCGACATGACGTTGACCTGCACACCGTTCGCCGTCTTGTGCGTGAAGCCGGCTCGGTAGTCCAGAAGGCATTGCTCGCCGTCGCAGTACGGTTGGCCAGTCGGATCCAGAATCATGTAATCTGCCACCGCGTTCTTGTACATGTTGGAGTCCGATAACGTCACTTGCGTCGACGGTGTCAGCTTGCCCGACGAGTCGGTGAGGGTCACCTTGGGGCCGTTGAAGACCGCTCGGGGACGCGCCGACGTCGCCACTTCGTCCCCCGTTGTGTCGGCGTTGGTGATGCTCCACACGCCGATGGGCTGGAAGCCGAAGATCAAGCCTTTCTCGATTTTGTCACCAAACCCATCGACTTCGCCATTCGTCGGGTCCCATGAGAAAAACTGCGACTTGAAGAAAGCAGACCGGCGAGCAGCATACGGGTAGTACGGGCGGTAGCCGGCGTTCCACGCGGCTTCCATCGATTGCACCGTGATCATGGACAAGTCGTTGGTGTACGTCCCATACGTCTTGGGGTCGATGTAGTTGTAGTTGCTCGGGGAGCTCCCGCTGCCTTTGAAGTTGGCGTACGGGAAGACGCAGTCCTCAATCGAGCCATCCAGCGCTGGGCGCCAAAAAACTTGAGCATCGACAGCCTTACCACCCGTGGGGATCGTCTGGTTGTACACGGGGCCGCAGACAGGGTCCGCGCTCAGGCCCAGAGGTTGTTGGTTGTCACTGCTGTCTCTGTAGAATCCACCGGGTGTGCAGTACTCGCCCTTCGTCGTCTTGCACCACAGCACTTGCTTCCCAAAACGGTCCATCTGACCAAGACCCGGCAGTTGGTTGGCCGGGTACCCGTAGTCGTTGAGTACGATAAAGTAAATAGCGTGACCCCCAAACGCTTGGACGATGCCAATGTGGCCGTACGCGACCCAGATGAGCTTCTTGGTCACGAGACGGTCAATGTTGGGACGACGCGGCGACCGGAGCATGATGTCGTTCTCGGCCTCCTCGTAAGCCAACGCAATCGCAGGAATCAAGTCCGTGCCGAGGCAAATGAGAAGCATGAGGATCGTCGTGAGCGGGCACGGGATACCAATGAGCACGTACGTCAAAAACGGCACGAGCTCCGGGATGTTGACGGCCAGCGCATAGCAGATACTTTTCTTGAGGTTGTCAAAGACCTTGCGGCCTTCTTCGACGCCGTACACAATGGACGCAAAGTTGTCGTCCAAAAGGATCATATCAGCCGCTTCTTTCGAGACTTCCGAGCCCATGATGCCCATCGCGATACCAATGTCGGCCTTCTTGAGCGCCGGCGAGTCGTTCACGCCGTCGCCCGTCACGGCCACGATCTCGCCACGGCGCTGGCAGTTTTCGACAATGATGAGCTTCTGCTGCGGCGACGTGCGCGCAAAGACACACTGACGGTGCGACAAGATGCGGTCCCACTCTTCCTCGGGTGTGTCCATGCTAATCGTCCAGCCTGGCACAACGATCGCGGGTGCAAGGTTCGGGTCCTTCCAGCCAGGGTCCCCCTTGACGAGACCGCGCTCCGCGTTTTCTTCCTCAAGATCTTCCTTCGTCGGGCCCCAGAGAATGCCCACCTTGTGCGCAATCGCCTTGGCCGTGATCGGGTGATCGCCCGTGACCATGATGACCTTGATGCCAGCGCTCTTGCACTTGGCGACGGCGCCCGGGACTTCGGTGCGGGGCGGGTCGATGAGTGCCATAAGGCCGATAAAGCAGAGCGGCTCTTCGATGCGCTTGTTGGGCTTCGGCGTAGCGTCGTAGTCGACGTCGGTCTCACCGAGCGGAAAGTTGCAATTGTCCGTGTTGAAATCGTAGCCGTGCGGGTAGTCGTTCAGCGGCAGCTCCTTCTCGGCAAACCCAAGCACGCGCATGCCCTTCTTGGACAAGGCAAGTTGGCACGCCTCGACTTCGGCGCGGCGCTCGGGCGTCATATCGACGACTTCGCCGTTGATCATTATCTTGGCGCAGCGCACCGAGATGCGCTCCGGGGCGCCCTTCATCACGAGAAGCATTGGCTTGGACTCATCGTTCTCTTGCTTGTGGATCGAGAGCTGGTACTTGTTGCGCGAGTTGAACGGGATCTCTTTGATCTTGGCGTTCTCATTGCGATAGTCGATAATGTCGCGCTTGTCTTGAACAAACTTGATCATGGCCGACTCGGACGCGTCACCAATCGTTTCCCAGAGGATACGGGGCACTTTCTGGCCTTCCTTTGTCACGGTAAAGTCCGAGAACGCCACGGGCGGACCACGGCTCACAGTCACGTCGCTGCCCGAGCCCGAGACAACCCGCTCAAACTTCGAGTCTTCATCGAAGACGGCGTTGTTGCAGAGGGTGGCGCAGCGCTGGAGGCGCTGGAACGTGACGTTGTCCGTTTTGTAATTGCCAACGGGCGTGAGCGAGCACTCAGCGTCCCAAATCTGGTTATCGTACACGACGCTGGCCACTGTCATGATGTTTTGCGTGAGCGTGCCCGTCTTGTCCGAGCAAATGCAACTCGTGGAACCGAGCGTTTCGACGCCTTCGAGGTTTTTGACAAGGACATTCTTGCGCGCCATGCGGGCGGCAGCAAGCGACAAGCAGACCGTGAGCGTTGCAAGGAGGCCTTCTGGCACGTTCGCGACGATGATACCGATCATGAAGACAATGTTGGTGATCGCGTCTTGGCCAATGAGGAAGCCGATGATGAGGAAGACAATGCCAATCGTCACGGCGACGGCCGTGATGATGTGCACAAAGTGGTTGATCTCCTTTGCGATTGGTGTCTGCTCCTTGGCGGTGCCCGTTGCGAGCTTGGCGATGCGGCCCATGACCGTGCGGTCGCCCGTACGCACAACTATGCCCTTTCCCGACCCTTGCGGGATGAACGTGCCGAAGAAGCACATGTTCTTGGTCTCGAGCGGGTTGTCGTGCGTGCAGTCTGGAATGCGCTTGAGCGGCTCAGGCTCGCCCGTGAGCGACGAGTTGTCGACCGCCAAGTCGTCCGAACCCTCGATGATGCGAATGTCGGCTGGCACCTTGTCGCCGCCCTTGAGGACGATGACATCGCCGCTCACGAGCAGTGAAGCGTCCAGCTTGGTCGACTTGCCGTCGCGGATGACCGTCGTGATCGTAGGCATCATGTTCTTGAATGAATCCATCAAGTTGGACGACTTGCGGTTTTGCGAGTACGAAAAAAGACCCGTGATGATCACGACGCAGAAGAGCACGATGCCAAGGTAGAGGTTGGGTTCGCCGCCAACGAGAGCGTAGCAGACAATACAAAGGATGCCGCCTGCCCAGAGCAAGAGCGAGAAGAAGCCCGTGAGCTCGCGGAAGACCTTGACAATCTCAGGCGTCGACCGCGGTGGCGTGAGCTTATCAGCCCATCGATCCTGCGGCGCTCGTCTGCTGTTGCCGTCACCATGCCCTACAGAGGGTTTCGTCATGCATCATCGTAGAACATGCTTCGTACCTCGGTCGCCGAGGTCTGCAAGTCCGCGCAGAGCTCAGGGATCGACTTCTTGTGCTCGTCCATGTCCAGCTCGCGCTTGGCTTCGTCCATCGATGCATCCTTCTTCCCCTTCTTCCCTGTCTTCTTCCGCGCTTCCATCCGATGGCGGAGCTCCGTGGTGGCGGCCACGATCTCCGCCGACGATCGGCGGACGCGGGTCGTCATGGGCTACGGCGGCGTCTCGGCTTGCGTTCGACCTGGCAACTTCACGACTGAGACGCCTCCAAAAGCCGTTGCCGTGCTTTTTTGAACCAAGATGTATAAAATAGATCTCCGGTGGTTTTTTAAACTCGATCTTTGTATGCACGGTGGTTTTGCGAGCCTATTTTCATCGGATGTGGCCTTTGGCGGTTTCACGCAACCTCCGAAACATCATATTCAATTCGGTTTTACAGGCCAGAAACCTCTCTCTTTGTATAAAGATGCATTTTCACCATTCAAATGGCAATATGCTATCCTAGAGGTATTTAATGTCCAAGGTTTTGGCTGCGACCGACCATCTCGGCAACTCAAAATCGCAGTCCCCACGTCTCGCTTCTCGCCACACTAATATGGAGCTACGTTAGTGACCATCG